TTCCATCACACGCGGTCTGTGGAGACACATCGAGTCAAACCCAGACACCCACCCAGCTCAGCCCAGCGCCCTACAGGACAGGCCACAGCATCACCAGCGAGGAACAGCTTTGGTTGAGAACCAAGCCCAAGTCAACAGTTTGGAAGGCATCTATACTTACTGCAATACTCCCAACGCCCTCAAGGGAGGAACAGCTACACTTAATCTTAGCCAGAGGGCCAAGAACGGAGGAAAACAGCCGCAGTCTAGTCTGATGTTATCAGAGGAAGCCAATAGTGTTATTTGCTCACCTCTACCATATTTCTCACCACCTGGACCACAGGCTTTCCGGCGCGGGGTGTGTCCAAGTGGCGGAACTGGGATTCCCAGTGGGAGCTCCCCGGCCTTTCGGCCCGGTCACCCCTCAGAGCTCCCCGGGGTGTCGACCTTGAAGATCAAGCGGGGAAAAGCTAACCCTGGGTCACGCCCGGGTAAGTAGAAATCCGTCTTCCACGAAGAAAATAACAGCCCTTCCCAGCATGCCTGGCTTCCACCACAGCCAGCGCAAGAGGTCAGCTCCTCAGAGGGACCACTGGGGGGGCTTCGTCCTTAAGACCTCTGTTTGAGCTGTGGCTCCCCCATCGCCCACCCAGTGCAAGGGTTCACCCCCAAGTTACTGGAAGTGGGACAGCGGGGCCACCGGAGAGAGAGAAGGGCGTGTCGAGAGCAAACTTGATCACACGGTAATCAGGCAGTTCCGTACCCAGATGATGAAAATGAGAGGAGATCATAAATTATATAACAAAGCACCTCGGGCGATTCACAAACTGCAGTGCCACTGGGAGGTATTCGACTGCTGGCTTCACATGAATGCGAACAGCGGTGACTCGTTAAAACACGACTGAAACGCTGATTAGCGAGCAGTTCGGATCAGAAAAGGAGATAAAAGGAAAAAACACTGTCACTCTGAGTTTGGGAGCCCTCTGATTAGATTTGAGTGGCGGGGCCACAGAGAGTTTGCTTTGTGCCGAGACTGGCTTGTGAAATGAGATTGCTGGGCTGGGGTGGGGGCTGGGGTTGGTGGAGACGTGTTTTTGTACTTGTTCCTGGACAGGATTCTCACAAGTTAGCGTGATTCCCTGTC